CCTAAGACTTTGCACATGTGAAGCCAGTGCTCTACCACTGAGCTTCACCCCTGTCCCTTACCATCCGCCTCAGGCTCCAGCATCACTCTGCACAGCCCTTCCCACTTATCCTAGGTCTCAGAGTTGTCCTCTAGCACCTGTAATTGGAGTAGAGGAGATGGCTTCACATCTCAATACTCAGGGATGATTCTCTCATCTCCCCATGGCTCCCCATTTGTCCCCACCCTCTCAGTGCAACTTCTGTTCCATTCCATGTGCGACCTCTTCAGGATTCTTTTTATTGCTCAAGGCCCTCCCTGGGTGGGAGCAAAGCTGTTTTCAGACCCATTCCAGGCCAAGTCATCTGGGCTTCCGGTGGAGCCCAATCAGCCATCGGAAAGTGTGACAGGCAACCTAGACTGAACCCAAGAGACAGTCACTTCCTGAGCCCCAGGCCGGCCACAGAAGTGGCAAACCACGGCCTAGAAGTACATGGGGGTGCTGACGTAGCCCCACACTAGGAGGAGGAAGCAGCAATGGAAAAAGGGGCTTGTTTTCCTCTGAAAGCTACAGCTTGCTTAGCCCTGAGTTGGGTGTCTGAGGCAAGATTGCTCCACTGGCTTTCTTTGGAAGCCTCTGGTGCCTTAGGCAAGTCCAACCTGTCACCTCTACCTCCTCCTCTTCTTCTCCAGCTTGCAAAGAAAGCCTGAGTGCAGATAGCAGCTCTGACCTGCAGACCCTCCCAGGGTCTCTCATTTCTCCTAGGGCTTCTGGCACCAGTCACTTTGCAAGCAAGATCTGAGAGCCCCAGGTCATCCCTAAATTATCCCTTGAGATCCAAGGGATTCCTCCAGACCAGGCTGCAGGGGTAGCTCAGCAATTTTCTTACCTCCAACTTGGCTTCCTGTAGGCCCCAGGACAGTTGTTCCATCTGCATTGTGGGTACAAGTTGAGTGCTCACAAGCTCAAATTGAGATTTGGCTCCTTGGGAGGGGCCAATTCTTTTCACTCTGTCTCCTCCCCTTCCTGCTCCTCCAATCACAGCAAGCAAGCAGAAGTGTGCCACTGGCCACCAGGCAGATCAGAGGAGGACTGCTGAAAAGTAAAACCCTCTCTAAGGAGTTGATTTTCAGGCCTTTCTTCTCACTGGCTACCCTTGACAGAGGGCTGCAGTCTGGGCAATGCTCAGGGGCTTTTAACTCTTCTCCTTTCACTGTTCCTGGGCAGATGCTGTCTTCTTATGCCATGGAGACTGGGCAGGGTTAGGAAGGGTTCCTTGGACTAGAGGTGTCGTTCAAGTGGTAGAGCGCCTGCCTTGCAAGTTCAAAGTGCTGAGTTCAACCCCCAGTACCACCACCAAAAAAAAAAAAAAAAGAATAAATATCTTATTTAACCTTACCTCCTTCTACTTTCCAATAGGAACTTCTCTACTTCATCCTTCATACTTTCAAGCTTCACTTTCCCCAAACAAGTCATACATAGGCCCTTCTGGCCACCCAACACCGAATCCTGGCCTAATACAGCATCTCACTTCCCACAAAAGACCACAAAATTTGGTCCTTCTTGTGTTTTTTTCTTCTCCAAAATCTTTTCATTGTTTCTGCCCTTCTCCTAGTCCCCAAGCACCTCTTCCTCCTCTTTATCTCTTGGCATCACTGACATCTGTTGGGATTACTTACTGTTTTGTTATTGTTGTTCTTTTTGAAGTACTGGGGTTTGAACTCAGGGCCTCATGCTTGCTAGGCAGGTGCTCTACCATTTAAGCCACTCCATCAGTTCCCTTCTTTTTAATTCCCTTGTACTGTATATTCCAGGCTCTTTCTACCCAACTGTAAGCTACTTAGGTGCAGAGCCTATGCTATAGCCCTTATTCTCAGTCTTTGCCCAGAGTAGTTCCTCAGAGTTTTGGTTGGTGTTGATAAAGGGTGTATTAATTACATTCTGTTGGGTTACAAGTAACAGAAACTAAATGAGACTATTTTATTTTATTAAATAAAAAAGGAGTCCATGGCCTGCATAACTAAAAAGCCCAAGCTGAATGCAAATACTTACACTTGGTATGTACAGCTCTTCCCTCTGACTTCCTCTGCACTGGCTTCACTCTTGAGCAGGCTCTCCAATTCCAAGGGCAAGATGAACTCCAAGCTTACATGCTATTGGCTTAGTACCACCAGTGAAAGATAATTCTTTCCCAACAGTTCCAGAAAAAGCCTCCAAAGTGATTCTGACTCAATCACTGTGGGAAAGAATGCTCCTAGACTGGATCATCCTACATGGATGGTCAAGTCTTGGTTCCAGATCTACTTTTAAATTTAGGATGAGGTTATCTTCTTCCAACCACATGAATAGGAGTGGCTCCTCAAGGCAAGTTGCTGGCTGGGGAATATTACAATAATAATTGATCTTGGACACACAAAAGATGTGAAATAGAAGGGTTTTTGGCGTCCAGCTTCAGCGAGGACATGAAGATTCTTAGGTCAGCTTACATGTTAGAATTTTAGGGGAACTGATTTACCCTCACTACCCAGAGGCAACACAAGGATCCTAGGCTGAGGTGCTGGATCCTTCGTACTTCCGAGTTTAGGGAAGATTGTGATTTTGTTGGTCTAAAGTAAAAGCTTTCTTTTCTAGAGCTCCACATGTGATTGAACAATCAAGGTTGAATTTTTTTTTGCTCTAGAAAAAGATGTTCTACTGCAGCAAGAAAGGTTCAGATTAGTTCTTAAGAACAATATCCCCTGTGTTAGTACTGGAATGCTTCTCTCTGCACAACTTTTCAGAAAAAGATCACTTGAGTTTTCTTGGAGGCTGAGGATTGGTGGGTGAAATGTGGGTGGTGCTGTGGATCCAAAGCCCCTGACAGTAACAATAGCCACTGTTTATTGAATGCCAAATGCAAGGCAGGCACTGAGCTTTGGGACTTCACAGATGGCAGCCCCGTGTAAATTTCAGTCTGCACAACATAATCCTTTTATGTGGATATCATTAATATTAGCCCCATTTTACTGTTGAAGAACGTGATACCCCAGTACTGCCAAAAAACAAAGAAAGAAGAAAGTGAGATACAAAAAGTTTGACCAAACCACTCCACCAGAGAGTGGCAAAATGGCCATTCAGAGACAGGGCCCACCCTACCTGGCCTGGCATTACTCCTGCCGCTAATGAGCAATTCAGGAACAACTCGCCCAACACATAGTATGAGGAGTTCAAATAGAAAGGAGGGCTGGTTCATTGTCAGATCCCTTAAGTTGATTTTTATAAGAAAATGAGGAGGGGAGATAAGGAGGCAGAGTCAGTGGGATGAAGCCCAATAGAGGCCATCCCCCCACCTCCATCTGACCTCCTAAGCCTGGGCTCACCGTCACCCGCCCTCCTCTTTCTGGTGTTGTCAGCACCTTCCTTTCACACACACACACTCTCTGCTTTTTAAATTAAGAAAAACAGCACCTCCCCTAGATGTAGAGCTAGAGCACGAGTCTTTCCTTCCCGGAATCCCTGTTTTCTCTGGGGTGTGTATTTGACTGCGAGGTGGGGGCGGGAGGGCATCCTGGCTCACCTCCTGCTCTCAGGAGGCCTGAGGAGATCACCCCCCTTCCCTCCGCCGTAAGCTCATGGCCCTTGGCCTGGCTCGGGGAGGGGAGTGTTATCCTGAAGTCTGGGTGCCTTGGCAGAGGCGGTTCCCTAGAGACTGCAGGGAAGGCCCAGGCTGCGGCGCCTGCTCAGTTCGCGCTCACTGCGTCTAAGGCTCCCCGGGCCTGGCTCCGCGCCCAGCACAGCAGCCGGGAGGAGGAGCGAGGAGGCGGCGGAAGAGCCCGCCCGAGCCGGGGCCGGGAACCGCGCTGGAGAGATCTCCAGGGGGCAGCACTGAGCCGCTAAGCAGGTGTGCTCCACGCCAAGTCTAGGGTCCCCCCAGCAGCCGACAGAGAACTCCCTCTTCAGAATCTGCAGGGTACGCCCCGCCGCTATCTGGACTGGATAAAGCTGGGGAAGTGCCCAGCCATCACAAGAACCATTAGCTTCTGGTGGGAACAGGACTCGAGACTGTCCTAAGGCACCCAAAAATGGGTTCTTTCCCCGCAGGGACCAGGGAATAGCCTTTCGGTTCTGCAGGCCCCAACAGCCGCAACACATTGACAGGAGACGTCTGAGAAGCAGGCATCCCAAGAACCACGTGGCCACAATTTCCTAGCCTCAGTTTCTCCAGTGACACCTACAAAGTCACCATGCCATTGGTCGAGGCCTGGGGCCAAGGCCCCGCCTCTGCTGGGCGGCCTCTGCCCTAGCCTGCCCAGCCACTCCTCCCCTCAGCTCAGGGCTTGCTCCCACGGTCCCAGAGGTGGGCGGGAGAGCCCTGAATGACGGCTGCAGAGCACAGGCCCGACCCGCCCTCGCCCCCGCTCCGGGTCTGGGCTTCCCCAGCCTAGTTCACGCCCGGAGACAGTCTGAGCAGCCACGCGCCCAGTGCTAAGCACCCAGCGCCCTCCCCATCCCGACGTCCCCAGGTTCTGCGCGCTCTCGGGCTCCCGGCAAGGAACCAGGGAGGAGGGAGGGAGTGCTGGAGCGGCACACAGCGACCCGGAAACGCCATATAAGGAGCAGGAAGGATCCCCCGCCGGAACAGCGCCTTATTTGGGCAGCGCCTTATTTGGAGTGACCCGATATGGCCCGGTCGCTTCCGGTTCTGGGAGGAGGGAAGAAGGCGGGGGAGTAGAGGCGGAGGCAACGCCTGGAACTTAGGAGCTCTTGGTCCAAGAGGCCCCAGCTGCGGCTGAAGCACTAGGTATCCCGAAGTCTGGACGTTCAAGATGGGAGAGCGGGCGCGGGACCCAGGGTGCAGGATGCAGGTGCCCAACGCTCTTGGAAGGGGTCTTCACGTCACTCCGGGTCCTCCCGGCCGGTCCTGCCATATTAGGGCTTCCTGCTTCCCATATATGGCCATGTACGTCACGATGGAGGCGGGACGCTGCGGTTCCAGACCCTTGAAATAGAGGCGGATTCGGGGAGTCGCGAGAGATCCCAGCGCACAGAACTTGGGGAGCCGCTGCCGCCGCCATCCACCGCCGCCAGCTTCCGCCGCTGCAAGACCGGCCTCTGCCCCAGCCTCCGCAGCAGCGCCGCGTCTGCTTCGGTCTGCGTCAAGGGCTAGCTTGGGGATCCCACCTGTACCCTCCCCAGTGTGCCCTGAGCCCCGCATGTGACCCAGCCAGTCCCCCGCGAGTGTGTCCCCGGTAGCTCCGGCCCTGGGCTGCGCCAGCCCGCTCCAACACCAGCTCTTCAGCCCGCTCGTCCGGGATGGCCGCAGCCAAGACCGAGATGCAACTGATGTCTCCGCTGCAGATCTCCGACCCGTTCAGCTCCTTTCCTCATTCGCCCACCATGGACAACTACCCCAAGCTGGAGGAGATGATGCTTCTAAGCAACGGGGCTCCCCAGTTCCTCGGTGCCGCCGGGGCCCCAGAGGGCAGCGGCAGTAGCAGCAGCAGCAGCGGGGGCGGTGGAGGTGGAGGGGGCGGCAGCAACAGCAGCAGCAGCAGCGCCTTCAATCCTCAGGGGGAGCCGGGCGAGCAACACTACCAGCACCTGACTGCAGGTAAGCAGTGGCCTACGCAGAGGATGAGCCCATTCGCCACCATCCTGACGTCCAGTCCTTCACCACGGAAGTACTCCTGGACCTAGGGATACAACTGGGGTTTCCCTTCCATTCCTCGCATCTCCAGGGTCTTGTGTTAGAGGGATGCCTGGGGACACCCTTTACCCTCGATCCTAGCGGTGCGCAGAGGACCTAGCATTTGTTTTGGATGGAGAGCTCTGGAGCTGCGTGGGTGGGAGGAGAGGGGGAGGGCTTGTTTTGATGAGCAGGGCTGCCCCCTCCCTCCAGAAAGGCTTACCCTGCTGCTACCTGTCCCCAAGAAAAGGCTGACATCTGTGGCCAGGGATGTCCCGGCAGCCCAGGGTAGGGGGCGCGCACTAGCCGCAACCGCAGGGGTGCTGGCGGGAATCCCTCGCCCGCTCAGCCGCTGCTGCGGAGCGCTTGGAGCTGCAGTAGAGGGGGATTCTCTGTTTGCGTCAGCTGTTGTTGAAATGGGCTCTGCCACTGGAGCAGGTCCAGGAACATTGCAATCTGCTCTTATCAATTATTAACCAGCTCGGGAGTCAATGGTAGCCGGTGACCTCTTGCCTGGCAGCTCAGGTCCTCATCGTCCTCCAGTGATTGCTCTCCAGTAACCAGGCCTTCCCCTTCTCTCTCCTGCCAGAGTCTTTTCCTGACATCTCTCTGAATAACGAGAAGGTGATGGTGGACACAAGTTACCCAACCCAAACCACTCGGTTGCCTCCCATCACCTACACTGGTCGCTTTTCTCTGGAGCCTGCACCCAACAGTGGCAACACCTTGTGGCCTGAGCCCCTCTTCAGCCTAGTCAGTGGCCTGGTGAGCATGACCAACCCACCAGCCTCCTCATCCTCAGCACCCTCTCCAGCGGCCTCTTCTTCCTCTGCCTCCCAGAGCCCACCCCTGAGCTGCGCAGTGCCATCCAACGACAGCAGTCCCATTTACTCAGCAGCACCCACCTTCCCCACGCCCAACACTGACATTTTCCCTGAGCCACAAAGCCAAGCCTTTCCAGGTTCCACGGGCACAGCGCTCCAGTACCCGCCTCCTGCCTACCCTGCTGCTAAGGGTGGCTTCCAGGTTCCCATGATCCCCGACTACCTATTTCCACAACAGCAAGGAGACTTGGGCCTGGGCACCCCAGATCAGAAGCCTTTTCAGGGCCTGGAGAGCCGTACCCAGCAGCCTTCTCTTACTCCACTCTCTACTATTAAGGCCTTTGCCACTCAGTCGGGCTCCCAGGACTTAAAGACTCTCAATACAACCTATCAGTCCCAGCTCATCAAACCCAGCCGCATGCGCAAGTATCCTAACCGGCCCAGCAAGACACCTCCCCACGAACGCCCTTATGCCTGCCCAGTGGAGTCCTGTGATCGCCGTTTCTCTCGCTCTGACGAGCTCACTCGCCACATCCGCATCCACACTGGCCAGAAGCCCTTCCAGTGTCGCATCTGCATGCGCAACTTCAGCCGAAGTGACCACCTCACCACTCACATCCGTACCCACACAGGCGAGAAGCCTTTTGCCTGTGACATCTGTGGGAGAAAGTTTGCCAGGAGTGATGAACGCAAGAGGCACACCAAGATCCACTTGCGGCAGAAGGACAAGAAAGCAGATAAAAGTGTTGTGGCCTCTTCAGCTACTTCCTCCCTCTCTTCCTACCCATCCCCAGTTGCTACCTCTTACCCATCCCCAGTCACTACCTCCTACCCATCCCCGGCCACCACCTCATACCCATCCCCTGTGCCCACCTCCTATTCCTCTCCCAGCTCCTCTACCTACCCATCTCCTGTGCATAGTGGCTTCTCTTCACCCTCTGTGGCCACCACCTATGCCTCTGTTCCCCCTGCTTTCCCTACCCAGGTCAGTAGCTTCCCTTCCTCGGCTGTCACCAACTCCTTCAGCGCCTCAACAGGGCTTTCGGACATGACAGCAACCTTTTCTCCTAGGACAATTGAAATTTGCTAAAGGGGAAAAGGAAAAGGGGAAAAGGGAGAAAAAGAAACCTAAGAGACATAAAAGGACAGGAGGAAGAGATGACCATAAGATGGGGTCTTCTCTTAGGTCAGATGGAGGTTCGCAGAGCCAAGTCCTTCCTCTCTACTCAAAGGTCTGTGAGCCAACAATCCTTTCTGCCCACTTTCCCTTTCTCCCCAATTCCTATTCCCTTTGACTTCAGCTGCCTGAAACAACCATGTCCCAAGTTCTTCACCTCTATCCAAAGAACTTGATTTGCATGGATATTGGATAAATCATTTCAGTATCATCTCCATCATATGCCTGACCCCCTTGCTCCCTTCAATGCTAGAAAATTGAGTTGGTAAAATGGGGTTTGGGCCCCTCAGAGCCCTGCTCTACATCCTTGTACAGTGTCTGTGCCATGGATTTTGTTTTTCTTGGGTACTCTTGATGTGAAGATAATTTGTACACTCTATTGTATTATTTGGAGTTAGGTCCTCACTTTGGGGGGTGGGGGGGTGAAAAGCCAAGCAAACGAATGGTGATCCTCTATTTTGTGATGATGCTGTGACTATAATTTTGGAGCATTTTTTGAAACAGCAGTCCTAGGTATTAATCAGAGCATGTGTCAGAGTGTTGTTCCGTTAACCTTTTTGTAAATATTGCTCGACTGTACTCTCACATGTGATAAAATATGGTTTGGTTTTTCTTTTTTTTGGAAAAAAAATTTTTTTCTTTGTCCTTTTAGTTTAAAAAGTTTCACGTCTTGGTGCCTTTTGTGTGACACGCCTTGCTGATGGCTTGACATGTGCAATTGTAAGGGACATGCTCACCTCTAGCCTTAAGGGGGGCAGGGAATGATAATTCGGGGGAGGCTTTGGGAGCAAAATAAGGAAGAGGGCTGAGCTGAGCCTTGGTTCTCCAGAATGTAAGAAAACAAAATCTAAAAATCTGAACTCTCAAAAGTCTATTTTTTTAACTGAAAATGTAAATTTATACATATATTCAGGAGTTGGAATGTTGTAGTTACCTACTGAGTAGGCGGCAATTTTTGTATGTTATGAACATGCAGTTCATTATTTTGTGGTTTTATTTTACTTTGTACATGTGTTTGCTTAAACAAAGTGACTGTTTGGCTTATAAACACATTGAATGCGCTTTACTGCCCATAGGATATGTGGTGTATATCCTTCAGAAAAATTAAAAGGAAAATAAAGGAGCTGTGAGTGGGTGTTTCCTGGTCTGGGGGAAGGACTCTACAGTAGCCATCCTAGGGCAGGAGTTCAGGTTTTCTGAAGAGTCTGGGGCTTTTACAGATGGAAAGATACCCCAACCAGAGCCATGCCCAGTGTGTCTTTGGAGTGAATTGTTAATCAGCAGTGAGTACAGGTAGGTCTCCACACTGTTGCTTGGTGCTGAGGATTGAACCCTAGGCCACAGTCATGCTAAGCAGGGCATCCTTTTGGCATGGTGTGAGCCTACGCCACCTCAAGACTGGTGAGCCATAACTTTACCTTGGTTAGTTAAAGCTAAAGTAGATCACATGAATGGAGCAGGTGGCCAGAGTCAGTGCTACTTTCCTAACAAAATGTTTTGGCCAGTTTCACCCCCTACCTCTACCCAGAGTTGAGAAAATGTGGTTTTGGGAATCCCTGCCATGTACACTTGGGGGGCACAAGGACTTTGGGAAGTAGTAACAAAGTGGGAGCTGATTCTGCATCTCTCTTCTTCTATGTCCTTACTAACTTGAGGGCATCAAAGATTACAGGAGGCAAGGGCCAGTTCTCAAGCCAAGAATCCTTCCAGGAAGAAAATCTCATCACTTGCCAGCTGGAACTGCCATCCTTGGCAGCTTCCTGGTACACAGGACAGAGTGGGCAGGAGGGTGGCCGATGTTTGAAGTTCCATCCAGGCCACTGTGTAGGAGGCATACAGTGTGAGGTTCTCTGGGCCCCAGTCCCCTAAGGGTTTACTTTCACTTCTGGAGCAATCCTTGTGGGTATGTGAGCATCTGTCCACTCTGTGAGAAGTCTTGACCTGGCTATGATGGACAGCAAGAACAGTTCTAAGAATGCAGGTTGTTGGTTGGGGAGACAGATGTAAGCTAAGAATTATGACATGATGTTATGTAATATGGGCAGGCTTGGGGCTCTGAAGCACAAAGAAGAGCACCCATCCCTTCCAGGGGCTTAGAAAAGGTAGAAAATTGAGTTGGGAAACTTAAGATGGAGTTAACCTGATTGCCTTGTGTTTTGCCAAGTCAGGAAGAAATTTTTAACCCAAGAGAGGGGAGAGAACGGAGTACTAAGTGGAAGCACTACCCTGAAATCTGGATTTTTTTTGTGAGTTGGTCAGATACCCACATCCATTGAGTAGATGATGTTTTTTTTTTTTTTTTTTTGGTGGTGCTTGGGTTTGAACTCAGGGCCTACACACTTGCTAGGCAGATGCTCTACCATTTGAGCCACTTCATCTGCCCAATTGAGTAGATGATGAAACAGACTTGATGTCCGGGAATTTCCAAGTCTTGGCTCCCATCCCAACTTCTTCCCTCTGAAATCAGAGTTAATGAAGTATCTCTTCTACCAGTATGATCAGACCCTGAGGGAAATCAAGGCCAACCCACCTCTGAGGGTCCCCTCCCCTCTGGGGGCCCCCCAAGGGTTTTCAACCCACACCCCCTGAAGTCAGGGAATTCCAATAACCCTTTAGCATTAGCCCAGGTCTTCTTCATTCTAGCCTTTTTCCAACACTGTTGGTCTCTGCCGTCTCCCATGTCCCTAGGCTCCTCAGCCTGAAGCGGGGGGAACCAGGAATCTTCTCTAGACAAAGGTACATCCCTATGAACCTCCTGGGAAATTGCCAGGTCCTGATGGGAAAACATTTGAGTTGGCACACCTCTTCCCAGCCCCGCCTACCCTTCTCCATCTCACTCTAAGCCCAGGAACACAGGTCTGTGCCTGCTATACATTCTTTAATTTCTCACTCTAGGTTCAAGAAACAAAGTATGGCAAAAGCAAAATATGAAAGGAACAAAAAGATTTTTCTTTAAGGCAGAAGGTCTCATATATTTCACAGTATCAGAAGGAGATTCCCAGAGCATCCCACTGTTACCTTGTATCTGGGATAGGGTCCTGGAATTGGTCCTGGTAACAAGGCCCTTCCTATTCAGATGGCTAACTGAGAAATTTTGCCAGGCTTGCTAGCTAATTTTTATTAGGCCTGGCACCAGAATTTCATTAGGTTCTGACACTCCAAACTCAAATTCCTTTGCATGATTGAAACAGGACACCACTTGGACAACTGCCTCATTTTACAGCGTGTATTGGCTGATGTAAGAATAACAAAAGTATGGGACTGGTGAAGTAGCCCATTGGTAAAGTGCTTGCCTAACTTGTTTGAAGCCCTGGGGTCAATAACCAGCATCAAAAAAAAAAGTATTAATTTTAAGTTAGTGCAGTGGCTCATGTCTGTAATCTTAGCTACACTGGAGGCAGAGCTTGGAAGCACAGCAGTTCAAGACCAGCTTGGGTAAAAAGTTCCTGAGATCCTATCTCAACCAATAAAAAATTGGGTGAGTAGTGCACACCTGTTATTCCAGCTACAAGTGAAGTGTAAGTGTAAGTGTAGAAGGATAGCAGTCTAGGCCAGCCCAGACATAAATGTGAGACCCTATTAGAAAAAGGGCTGGGGGTTGGGGGGTGTGGCTCAAGGGGCAGAGCACCTGCTTAGCAAATGTGAGGTCTGAGTTCAAACCCCAGCCACAAAAAAAAAAAAAATTAAAATGTGTTAATTTTAACCACCACTCCTGGGAAAGAAATCTGAAAATAGAGGTACAGGACAGTACTGATAAAAGCTCTGATCATCTTAAAGATTGAGGTCTGGAAGCAACCCAGAGAATGTTGAACAATTGATTGCTGCCTGGGGACACTGTCTAGAGTTTCTGGAATGTGGGAAGGATAGATAGCAGCAGGGTGGAAGAGGAGAGAGAAGGAAGGGGGAACTGTCTTCTGAAGTAAAAGAATTGGGTCCTAAGGACACTTGACTCTTCCTCTTAATGCCTGAAAGGCACTCTTCTAGCTCAGATTTCAGGATTGTTCAGCTTTATCCATTTTGAAAGGTTCTCAGCACTCAGGAAGGTTGTCACACTGACCCCACGGACTCCACCCAGGAAGAAATGGAACCACGTCTGGGTACTATAGGGTCAGAGGTCCCCTCCCTGGCTTTCAGCTGCTTTCATGTCACACTTAGCACAGTTAGAGAGGGGAAGCCATGATGCAGAGTTAGATCTCAGGGTCCTAAGGGAAATGTGGCCAAGTCTAAAGGAATCAGATCTCCAACAAATAAGATTTCAATATTTTACACAGAAACCTGGGGTGCTAATAAGACTTTCACACTCAAGTAGCAAATCTGGCCCACCACCTCAGTAATTTTCCTTCCCCACTTTTCTTTTTCCATTACTAGGATCTGGAAGAGCGTTTTGTGGCTAAGCTTACTTGAGATGATCTCAGGTCAAAATGGTAGCTCGCCTCCTCAGATCCAATAAATTTATCTAATTTTCCCTTTTGGGGGAGCTCTAGAGTTTTAAAAATTATTATTACAACTTTATTGAGGTACAACTGATGTGTGATAAACTGTACACACGAAGTATACAGTTTGGAGCTAGGAGTATTGTTCAGTGGTAGAGTACTTGCCTAGCATGCATGAGGCCCTGGGTCTGAGACCTAGCACTGCACACAGAATGAGTTTTGGTTTCCATGTACACAGGTAAAACCACCATCACCATTAAGACTGTGATGAACATACCCTTCTCTTCCAAAAGTCTCCTTACGCCTCTTAGTAATCTTTTCTTCTTTCCACCCTGTCCCCAGCTAGCCACTGATCCGCTTTCTATTGCTGTAGATTGGTTTGGATTTTCTAGACTTCCTTATAAATGGAATCATTCAGTAGTACTCATTTTTGCCTGGCTTCTTACATTTAGTAATGTAAATGTATTGCTAATACATAATACATTATATATATATATTATACGTAATATATATATATATTTTTCAGTGCTGGGACTGGAACTCAGCACCTCAAGCATGCTGCTAGGCAAGTATTCTGCCACTGAGCTACACCCCCAGCCTGCATCATTATTTTGAAAGTCATTCATATTAGGTGCATAAGTCTCACCCCTTTTTATCGCTGGGTAGAATTCAACTGCATAGGTACACCACAGTGTGGTCATCCTTTCATCTATGGATGGATATTTCTGTTGGTTTCCTTTGGAACCATTACAAGGAAAGCTGCTGTGAACTTTTTTGTGTGAGTGTTTGTAGATGTATCCCCTTTACACAAGTTTCCCTCATACTTTCTGGATCCTTCCCATCATATCCACAGTAACACACCTCCCTAGTTTATGAAACAATAACCACTCATCAGTCCCCACAATCACAGTTAGGGTCCAGCCTCTCAAAAGATTTGCTTCTTTTAATATTTCCTTGAGTAAACAGAGTCAGCCCCTTAA